TTAACTTCATTTCAAGTCAATTACTATGACAACAAAACTTTAAAATATTTACATAAACAGATACCATGCACTGCTACTATATAAATAAAAAATAGCTTAACTGAATTATTTATTTCTAACATCATCCCAGCAGAAAAATGCAAAAAAGCTAAACATACTATCAATAGATAAGTGCTGCCATCTACACCCTGATGTTCCAGATGAGTAGGGAATGAGCTGCTGACTAGCTTCCCAGCCAGTACCTTGTGAATCACGTTGCAACACATGATCTTAAATTGCATTGAGCTGAAACGTACAGATGTGAATGAAAACATTTGTATCGAAAGGACATACATCAAATAAGGCAGTCAAATGGGTTAGCTAGCATTGGGAAACAGGATCATAATTATAATGACAATTAAGTCTAGAAACTCCCTCTAATACAGTGATTATCCTGCTTATGCAAGACTTATACGTTATGCAATACACATACGTTCACGCATAAGTTTATAATTAGCAAGCAGGCATTAGTACATTTTCATTTTAGGCAGAACAGTGTTCTAAATTAGTCTTGATCAGTTGTCAAGGTGTGTCAACCTACACATAACCTAACCCTACAGTTTTGCACATAGACAGTATATTTCCCAGTACATTCATTCTACCTTCTGTGTGGAAAGCCTCTCTCCAGCTCCGATGTGTACACATACCACAATTCTGATTTCTCACAGTTATCTGACAACAGTCTTACCAGTTCCTGGCAACGTGGATAAAAACAAAATCTGTTTAGAAACCTCAAAATGGAACGCCCATGATATTAATACCAGATTATACATCGACTGCTAATATTTTGGAAACATTTGACCTATGGCATTCAAAATTTCACCTTGCATTTCATTCTCAACTTTGTTTACATGGTGTATCAATAATCAATACTTCAGTAAATAGCGATGCGGCATTCCCCTTTAACATATTTTGTGAAGAATGCTAACACATTAAAATAGAAATAAACACCATTTATTTTGCATAGAGTAGTATAAAGAAATATAATAATAATAATAATAACAATAATATGCAATATATGTTTGCACGTGTGTGTACCTCATGGTCATTCTTCTCCCGTGCCAGGTTCACTTTCTCTAGCAGGGACAACTCTTGCTTTGTTGTTCCAGGCTCATCACACACAGTGCCAGTAGCAAGCAAGTACCCCTCCAAAGTTTTCTTGTCAATAATACAGTACTTTGGTGTATCAATCTGAAGCAACAACCATATTATAACCTCGTAAAGGAAAAGTTTCATTTTGACTATGCAGCTTTGTTGTAAATCCCGTCCTCTGTTGGCGGTTTTTTATGAAAATTACATCTTAAGATATATATCTTTGCCTTGAATGCAATTATTATAATTACTATCGCGGTGAACTAGTTTGGGCATAGGAAACGGTTTATTGGAAACTTGCATTGTACCAGCATTGCAGGTAGGATGCCATTGAGACTTTATGGCTCTTCTCCTCATAATTACTTCAAGATCTCTCACCTTATGCAACATTTTTGATGTTGTGACAAACATTTCAGATGATTTCTTGTAATCTTCCTTGAAGAAATAGAAGCATCCTAAGTCGTAACTTATCTGCAGGAATACAAGCACCAAAAGAGCGAAATTTTAGTAAAGATTTCCAAACAAAATCACTAGTCATAATTATAGACAATTCAACAATTATCAAACAATCAATTATTTCAACAACTATTTTTGCATAATTATGATTGTCATGAGTGTACAGTAGGATTGCACGTAGTGAGCATAATAAATCATATGCTGTAGGTTGCAACTTAGTGTCAAGCACCTGAGCTATCAACTCCTCCTGACAGATTGTGATACCCTTCTCCCACGAGTGCGATACGTCGTCGTCGTCCTCCTCTCTCAGGGCTGTGAAGCTCTCTAAAGCAGGCATCTGCAGAGACTTGATCAAGCTCAGACCAGTTTCGAGAATGCCAAGTGAGATCTCCACATCGGATTTTAACTGGAAACACAAGTTCACACAATCCTACGTGTCATGCAAGCTGTCATGTAGTACGCAGCAGGTCAGTTAGGTGGTAAACACCACATACTTGCTCCATATTGTAACATTACACTACATGTACAAGTTGTTTATAACTTGTAGCAGGGGGTGCGGTGGATTATAAACTGGACAATAGACATATCGATAAGAAATTGTTACTTGTATAGATTTGTGCAATTTCTTATGTTTGTTTTGCACAATGTTACTTGCTAAAAGGATTCATAAGAATAAAAAAAATTTAAAAAAAATGATCACTCAATTTTTGATAACATTTGAATTCATTTTCCTGTTTTCTTATAACATCAAGTAAATATAATTATCATAGACCATATATTTTGTACGATCTTACAAAGATATGTATATTTTACATCATGGTTTCAATGCCTTACCGTGTTCATGAGAACTTCATTATTTGCTGTGTGATTGGCTGTTTCAAACTGACCAGGCCTTGAAACAACAATGAATAATTAATTATTATATATAGCAGGCACACCCCCCCACATATTCACATACACCACACAGGCATGCACACAGACACTCGCACATGCACACAGACACACGTGCATGCACACACCCATAACAGATAGTGAAGACTGTAATTAGCAGTCAGGAAGAATGAACTAAGTTATAATTTTGGTAATAGATGCTCCTCATTGAGTGTATGAATATCTCAAACTGCATTTTAGTAAAATATAGAATGCACATAATTCCAATAATCAGTTTTGTACCAGAAAATGTAAAAAAAAATCCACTTCTGCTTTATGTAACATAATAATATTTGTTTCATAACATAGTAAATAGACACTGAGGTGTACTATAGTGCTACGAACTGTAGGGTTAGAATACGAAAAACCTACATTTGAACACTGTTGAACTTAGGTGGCCGTTGGGGAAAACTATCCCTTACAACAGCTTGGACAACCCTGAAAAACATACAATGTTTCAATTAATTTGACTGAATATTATCAAAAGTAGATAATAGGGAAGGAGTGTGACTTCAATAAACATGGGAAATTCGTCATTTACTAGCATTAGAATACCTACGATTTACTACGCGTAACTCAACCAACTTGAGCTCAAATCGTACACAGTACATTCGCCTAGCATCGTGCGAAATCGTTTCGTCGTATACACCCGCAATCTGGAGATACAGATTAAAATGTACGACACAATTCTCCATTCTGTTGCCAGCAAATCGACTGTATAACCCGCCTAACTTGAAACAATAGGCAGCTATTAACGACTCTTGCGCACTCTTGCGCCCTCAGTGATGCGGTGTGGCTCGCTGGGAGATTGGAGCTGGAGCTGCTGCTGATTGCAGTGGGCGTGCGTGCGTGGGGCGCATACCAGCTGTAAATAGGTCAAAGATTAGCTCGCCGAGTGTTGCGTCGATGTCCAATCTCCCAGCTAGCCACACCGCATCGCCGAGGGCACAAGAGTGCGCAAGAGTCGTTAGTATAGCTGCCTATTGTTTCAAGGTAGGCAGGTTATGAAGTCGATTTGCTGGCAACAGAATGGAGAATTGTGTCGTACGTTTTAGTCTGTATCTCCGGATTGCAGGTGTATACGAGGAAACGATTTCGCACGATGCTAGGCAAATGTACTGTGTACGATTTGAGCTCAAGTTGGTTGAGTTACCCGTAGTAAATCGTATGTATTCTAAGGCTAGTAAATGAAGAATTTCCCTTGTTTATTGAAGTCACACTCCTTCCCTATTATCTACTTCTAATATTATTAATAACAAATTCATACTTATTTTATCCACAGACATTAGATACTAAGATTTCACAGATCACTACAACACTGTAGATACTATGGATTTTTCAATACATTTGTCCTGCGCACCCAATTTACTCTAAGTTGACTATTTTCATATCTCTTACTACCTACCATCTATGGTAAATATGCAAAGCAAATACAGCTTGGTCAGCCAAGTCTGACCACTCCACAATCTCTCGGCTGCTTAGTAGTCCAGCCTCGGCTAGCAAATCAGATAAGAGCTGATTGGACATCGACAGAGACAATCTGTAAATTCAATGGAAAACTTCTACACTGGTGCACAATTACATTTCCCCAGCAAATGTACCCAGAGAGCACAGCTACGAAAGTAACTATGACCTCGTTTATATTTCTATTACAATTTTCAATATGCTACAGCTGAAATCATTACTGCTCATTAATATACAACACCACACTATATTTGCAAGAAGCCTAATATAATATTGGCCATGGCTCCTCGACCGGTAAGCAGTTGCCAATGTTCTGTGACTAAACGACCGGATTGACCAATCAACAGGGAGCTTCTGACGCACGCAGTATGCTAGTTGCTATGGTGGTGGTGCTGCCAAGCAAATTATATTTTTTTTATCAGAAAACTATCAACACATTTTTGTTATGATATCAATTATTGTGTACCAGTAAGAAAACTAGTTTAAACAGTACATTTAGTGGTAGTTATAGTGATTTTAATGGCCTCCCTTCCCTTCCCTCCATGAGATGTGACCGGTCAAGGAGCCCCAGCGTATAATATTTAATAAAAGGAATTTAATCAGGCAGACAATTATATCATTGGCTAGATGACCAAAAAGGCAAATGGGTCAACTCTTTTACTTCATTCTTTAATCTTTATACCTTACTGCATTTATTTTTGGTCATGTAATTCTTATTTGTTAATTTTTCTTTTTCTTGTGCCCACCGAAAACCATTGATTAATTGTCAAGAGACTGTCAGATCGACGTAACCATATCTAGATAGATAGATAGATCATAGATTCAAAGGTGTCACATACTCATCCATTAATAGTTTCAGGTTCCACTTGAGCGCAGAAGCAGTCTTGAGAGCAAGCATTTTCAGAGCTCTCATTTTCTTGCGACCATAGTTAGCACCCCCTGCTGCAAATCAAATGAAAAGTCAAATAAATGAGTTATAACATGTCAAACAATAAAGAGAAAATTTCTAATTCCTTTGCATTTAAATAAAGAATGACATGACAAATGTAAGAAAAATGTCTGTATAGTTTACGATTTCTCTAAGCTCTCTAGCTCCAAATCATACATGCCTACAATATACACATACCTTCCATAATCTGTTCATCCATGATTATCATATCCTGTTTCATTGATAACATACGTTCCATTGAGTGGGCTTTGCCTAAAAATTGCTTCAGCAATTGGATCGCAGATGGATCTGTGAGTATCATAAATCAATAAGTAAAATCAATACCAATATAATTTCAAACCACTGATATCATGGTAGGATATGCAGGAACAGATGACTATGTAAAACAGTTGATGCAGCTCCACTAATGGAGATCTAAATGAATCACCCAGGATGTAAAACACTTTGACAATTACCACCCTTACTTAGGCTGAGAGGGTCTATGTCCCCCAGGGACCAGGGTACTGCCGGAACATACCCTAGGTATGGTCCGGTATACCGGAACGTACCCTGGTACTATCTAATATGCCAGACCGTACCTCGCCTACTCCACTAACGAGTCTAGGGAGTCGCCTACACCTACTCCCTAACACTAACCCTAACCCTAACCATATCAAATAGTCACCAGCATAGGATAGTTAGGAGTACCCAGGGAGACATAGACCCTATGAGCCTTACTTAGTGTGAGGGAACGAGGTCGATTTGGTGCAGTTGTGCCTAAGTGCTGAAATCAGCGATCATGATGTAGCATACACACTGACACAATCTTTAATGTGACTAGAGTGGTCAGAACCTTGGAGAAAAAAGTGTTCATCTCGTAAATTAAACAGTGCACGTGTGTATCCCTACCTTAGTTTCTGTCCCACATGATACAAAGTGTTAATAAAAATCAAGTTTGCGGCTTTGGGGACATGGTACTGGTAGTTGGTACTCTAAGTCTAAAACTTGCCTTGGTTGGCTTAAAGTGCTGAATGAACCCACAGTACTACTACTACTACAGAGACAGTACACAGTGTCAGTAGACAGTACAGAGACTGGTACATAAAACTAAAAGTAAAACTAAAAGTCATACTGATACTCATACGGTGCAAATCCACTTTAGGCACCTTAGGTATCACGAAGTGATGCACAGATTTCTGTGTATCATCAACTGATGCACAGACTTTCCGTATATCAAGGATGATGCAAAAACCCTAACCCTACCCCTAACTCTAACACACTTCGTGATACCTAAGCCTAAGGTTATACTTTATGACTTAGGGTTAAGGTTAGGGTTTTTGCATCATTCCTTGATATACGGAAAGTCTGTGCATTAGTTGATGATACACAGAAATCTGTGCATCACTTCGTGATACCTAAGGTGCCTAAAGGCTAAAGTGGATTTGCGCCCTTCTGTTATAATACTACTACTAGTTATGCTGATAGGGTCTATGTCCCCCAGGGTACTGCCGAAACGTACCCTGGTAACTATCTAATATGCCAGACCGTACCTTGCCTACTCCAAACCGTACCCTGACTTTCAGCTGATGTCGTAATATATACCGCTTGTTGGCAGGAAACGCGCCGCTTTATGCTCCCCTTCCTTGTTCCCGCAAAATATTCGTAACCCTTACCCTTGTGTTACGTTTCACCTTCCGACCCTTTCTACAAGTGTCAGCGAGTCTATACGTTTCCAACCCATTAAGATAATCATACTTGTATTAGGTCATATCTACTCTTGTCTCCCCAGTGTCTGCCGGATAGTACCCTGTCCCTGGGTACGGGTCCGGGGTATACCGGAACGTTTACTCCGGTAACTATTGATATGGCCGGACGCTGTTTACCTTGCTTACTCCCCTACGTACCGTACCTCCGATTGAGTTAGTTTCAAAATTTATATATAGGGACCAAACGGTAGATACAATAATGTACCCTCACACCATAATAGGATAGCGCTCACCAACGCCGACCTATACCTTTTCTGCTTTTTTTTTTTTCAGGAGCGATGCTCCGAGTGAATCACTCGGCAGGCTTTGCTGGTGTGATTTTCATGAGACTAGAACTTCCAAAGTGGGTATATTCTAAACACGAACCTTTCTCAGCTATCGGGAACTTACTATCGTATCGCCACATAGCTCTGTTATTAAAACTAATATAACCTGCTCTCCCCTGTTACCAAAATGAAACTCGACAGTGACGGAGCGCGCCGAATCATACTTGAGCGCCATCTTTTGTACCTGGACGTACGATCTTCCCAATCGCATAGCGATCGGCAAAAACAGTCATGCGCTCCTCCCGATTGCGTCCGCCGCTTCGCAATCCGCTCCCTTCAAAACCGAAGTACGTCACAGGTCTCACAGACAAATGCGCGCTCATACTATATCGCCGCTCGTCCACTTCACAATTCGTGTAACAGCTCTACTATTAGTTTAACTACAGGTATTGCGATACGATAGTAAGTTCCCGCAATAGCGGGAGAAAAGGTTCGCTGTTTAGATAAACCCACTTTGAGGTTCTAGTCTCTGAAAATACCACCACGCAAACCTTGCCGACGTGATCCTCGGGCACTTCCTCCGCAAACAAGGTAATAGGCTCGCGTTTGTAACCCTCATCCTCCTTGGGTTTGGACAGTTATTGTATCTAGGACAAGGGCGGAGTAGAAAACGTTCATTCTACTTTTACAACGGTGGCGCAGAGCGAAGAGGTACCTACGGGTGCTGAAAACGTAAGACGGGTAAGGCTCATTGGGTCCTGAGATATGACCTCAAATTCACTCACATGCCACTCACACACTCGTTATGCTCAGCCTCTTACACATGTAATCAACATGTCATTCTCATCCAAGGCACAGAAATCCCTGATACGAATGAAGGCAGCAAGGGTCATTCCATACATAAAAAGGCAATAGCAAACAGAACCCGCGAAAATTATGGCTGCCTGTCCTTTGTCTCGAATCTTCTAAGTGCTGCATGTCCAAAGTTTTGGAGCGAATAGCCTATAGACCAAAGAGAACATATTTATAGAAAATTCCATTACCTGTACGGTTCCAATCCTGGCTCGTAGATCAAGATTTTGAACTGAGCACAAGTTTAACTCCATCTAACTGTATATTATTCGTAATGAGTCGCGACAAAGCGGACAATTCTAACTGGTTATGGTTTATAAGAGCTTTCAAATAATCTGTTTGATAACCGTTGGACCATAAAAATTTTCTACTAGCCAAGCTTAAAAACTGCACTCGGAATGGATATTAGGACTGTTAAATGGTCGGCATGCTTATCTCTCGTGCGTTAAGAATCCAAATAACCTCGATGTAGAGGGTACCTTCTCTAGATAAGGACTCTTGTATGTGGCAGCTACCACAAGCTCGATTTGCCGGTCCCATGTTATTTACCTGACTTCTACTACTATAATGACAAGGGCAATATAGGCAGTTAAGCGTCAAAGCTTTTATTATATTAGCGGACGATTCGGCCTTAGTAGTTTACAGGACAGATGGTACAAGGCTATACAGGAAGAGATTAAGTAGAGGATTGCAGTTCCATTAATAATATCGGGATCCTCACGAATAATTTATCCTTGCAATCTTGGAAAAACTGAAAGATATATTTTTTGAAATCTAAACACATAACTCAGGGATAATCCCCAAAACTGGACATCAGATGCTAATGGGGTGGCAATTGCACATAAAAATACAGTTATTCAGTATCTAGGAATAGACTTGGAAGACACCATGAGGGTTGAGATCTAACGGGAATAAGGTGGTAAAAAGATTAACAATAGATTGAAATTTCGCTTTCCAGAAAGCCTAGTATTTTGAAACACGGATGTAAAGATTACAAGTTTCTGCCCTAATTTCATGTCACTCTCGAATATGCAACGCAGCATATGGTACAGCAGTCTCACAAAAGCGCCACAAGGCTAATAGCTGCAAGTGTCGTCAAAATAAAGTATTAGATGTTCGTTCTCTAGGTTCTTACACTGGTGCGTTAGATGTAGTTCAAGGCTCTGTCAAATTTGGTCTTCCCCGACGTCCCCCGCCCCCTGCACTTTTCTGCTCTTCCTCCTCCGGTCAGTCTCCGCTTTAGAGTTTAGGTAATGCCCAACTGAACGGTTCAAGTAGCGTTTTTTTAAACATATACATAATCTCGGCCCGCAGTATATGACAGTTAACGGTTTCATCCGTTAACGGTCAGGAAGTCAATATTTCAATACAAGGGAAGGTTGAGAATGTCTATATTTTTAAACCGAGGGTGGGAAAGCTAGTGGGAAATAAACTCTTTTACATTATACGCAATTGAAGCTGTGGAACTCTCTTACCACAGCGAAGTTAGGACAAATTCTGTTTATTCTAGTTTTAAGTATAGTTGTTAAGCAAATGTCCTTCTGATGGAAAGGCTTTAGAAATCATTAGAGGCAGAGAGTTATGTTCTTTCACTAAAAGAATTCGTGTTGAAATTACGGCATTAAGAAAAGTCTGTATCGTCTTTCGCTGAAAACTGTTCACTTCATCATGTATGACCGATTAAACTCAAATCCTGTATATTTCATAGTTTTCGTTGCCTGATTAGTGTAGTTACAATTGTTAGTTAGATTCAAGTAAGGCATCAGCCAGAACAACGGTACCCACCAATGTATGAATAAGGTGTGCCCTAGCTCCATCTCTCTCTCTCTCCTCACTCCTCATTTTCTCTTTTACCTCCACATTTTATCGAATTCACAATCTTCTCTTCGACCAACGTATTGCAATGTATTGTATATGATGGATAATTTGGGCATAAAATAAATAATATAAAAAAATTAAAAAAACCCTGACTGTCCCTGATTCCGCCACTACTGAGTCGCAAAATTTGAAAATATACATACAGACCTGAATGGCTGTATGATATCGTTATAAAGTTAGGATTTGAGTATGAAACTTGGTGAAACCAAGAAGAAATCTTCAACCTATATAATATATTACACTGATGGCATGCAATCCTTTTGCAAATATCGCGGCATGATCATGGAAATCGTTTTCGCCTTTTCGCAATGTTTACCGACATTTCCGCGGATTTTTGAAAGATAGGCCTCAAGTGTTGTGGTTGAACAGGAAAATGGT